CGAGGGTTAATACTACCACTCTCGGTTCTTCCATTATTGAACGAAAAGGTGGACCATAAGTTTCGGGATTATGTAGCAGTCTCACTAGAGTCCGTTCAGGCCGATAAATTTGCCATCCGGATTTCGTTCCACTCTCCAGTGGTTTATATACTCGTCATTTATTTGGATAGATATATATTCAAGACAACGGCAGGCCTCGGCGCACTCATAGGACATGGTTTCCTCTAATTCCCAGCTCCAGTCGTCATCGGGATCGTAGAGCCAGTCTGTTGAGATTTCGAGCTTGCGCAAGTGAATAAAGTGTCTAAGTTGAGAGGTGACCTTTTATAAATAATTTGTTAGCCGAGAATGTGAGACATAGGAGCCGGCACGGACATACTCTTCCCTTCCAGGTGAAACTGGGCATTTCTTTAATAATAAGATTCTCTAATAACGGAAATGTACTGTTAATATCTAAAGGTAGCATTAGCTAGGTACAGGCTTAGAGATTTATAGCAACTATGTTAGGATAACTTACTGCGCAAGGCCGCTACTCCGCTCATGTCTGGTTGCTGTATGTAGATCTCTAGGCTTTTCAATGGCAAGGGATTTACCAGTATACCAAGGTTGGGAGCCAGCTTAAAGCAATTGCTTCCGACCTCTAGATGCTGCAGTCCAGAGAACATGCGCGTGAAATGGACCACCCTAACAGAGGTAAACCCTCTTAGTTGGATTGTGAGCGGATTGTAAGAAACCGGATGACTAGGCCTTTTCTTAAGCTCTTTGTGGATGGCATTCTCGTAGAAAGCAGTTAACTGCTTGCTACAGTCGATAGTAATTTTAAGGCAATTCAATCTCTGCATTTTGCTGATAAGAGATAGCATGCAGCTGATCAAATCGGGGATTTCACTACTGTAATCATAAGAAAACCTGCGATCCGTGTCTGAGCTCGAGAATGTGGTAATGACGATGTGCATAGAGCTGTTAAGTTCGTGGTTAGAAGCTGCATACTAAGATATAGATGGAGATAATGCTCACGTAGTATGGGTACGAATAATCCCGGTTTGCGTGTGATCTCTAAGGATCGCCAAGTCCACGCCCAAGGAAGGTGGCGCGCCAGTTACCTTCACATTCTGCAGTCGAAAGTCCCAACCCGTATTACGGAGCTCTTGGCAGGTTTGGGCAAGAGCTTGCTTGGAAGCAGAGTCGCAGGCCTCGAATATCATACGGTGCACGTAGGTGGGCAAGCGCTCAAGAGCAGATTTACGAAACTTTCTCGCCGCCCACTCACTCTTTCGACAAGTAGGAATGGGGAAAGGCATGGTGATCGAGTATCGTGAAAAGTGATGGTTATTTGTAGAAGATGCAGTAGTTTGGAAATTTTGTAAACGGAAATAAGTTTTGTAGATGCTATGATAATGGCAATCTTGCTTTAATAGAATAATAAGGAAGGTATTGATTTTATATTTATATTTGATTCATGGGGAAGGATGTAAAATTGTAACCTATCTAAATGATTTGGTTAGGTGATATGACAGACCTACTACCTACCAAGATCTAGAGACGGTTATTTAAACTCTTTGATAAGCGGTTAGGTTAGACAGGTAAGCATAGCATGCATTAATAATATACATCATTATCTTCATATATTTAGAATAGAATATTCGGGTACAGGTAGACGGTGCTACAAGATATATGAGAATAGCTGGATATCCGCTACAGAGTGTATGAATAGGCGAGCAAAATCTGCATCGACAGCTACGATATGGTTTTTTTAGATCTTTACTAACTTTGGGCATCGCTTGCGGGGAGAGACGAACAAGGATATCCGCCCATTACTTAAGTGAGACTGGAGAAAGTTTTCTGGCTGGAGAGTTCATGTATTAGGCGTCAATTTACTAGAATACTTATTTCCCTGCTTCATAGCTTCCATAAGTTACAACATGCCTATGTGATGTATTAAGGCTTATATGAATTGAAACCGTCGTCGTGGTAGTCACGTGATCTATTATCGGTCCCGATGTCACATGATATCCTTGCCGGCACGTCCGCCGATAGGTGCGTCGATAGGCACAGTAACCGCTTTCGTTAACATAATTACTAGAAAGCTCGAGACCGGGGTATCGGGTGAAATAACATAGGAGACCTATGGGCTCTTAGATGACGAGCTATATGGGCGTAAACAGTAGCAAATCGTAAGCCACCTATATTGAATATAACCTTCTCGAACGGTACCTATTATATAATCCCCACAGGATTTAGAATAATGCATACTTTGCGTAGGAATAATTGATTTCCTCTAGGCTAGGTTCCGGTTCGAAATTTGAATACCTATCAACAATTAACCTACCGCAAACCACCCTTGGTACCCTTCCACAATTAAATTTCAGGCTTAAGCAACCACAGTGTGAACCCTCGCCTCGTATTGAACACAAGTAAACATCTTCGAGGACGAATCCTTCTCTTTCTTATCCCTAGCGGCTAGAAATATTTAGTTAGTACTTCCCAACCTAAAAGACCCGTCTATACGCTATTCTAACATCAACTCTTCTACCCTTACCTATTTCTATCTACCTGCTACCTCTTGCCCGTGCCAAATACAATTACGTTTGAAGACATAGAGAATAGTATCATACGGAGATCTATCCAAGCTAAAGACGATTTCCTCAACAATGTGTCATTGGATATCAATGGATGTAGAGTATTTGTCGTCCGTGAATCCGTTCCGGATAGCCATTTCCCGAAGTTTGAACTTGCTTTTAGGGTTGCTAATATAACAAAGGAGGAATCGGATAAATTCTTGGAGGAAGAGGTGGCTTCGAGGATAGAGAAGTATAGACTCGCCTCCACTAGCTCGCCTACGAACCGACCCACCATAAGTACCTTAGGGGTGGATGTTAAAGGCTACATGCAGCAAGCTGAGTACACAAATACGATACACCCGGAGGGTGGTATCCATCATAAGGAATCCGTATCTTTGCCACATAGCAGTATTATGCCTGATGATAGGGATATCGTGCGTCAGGTCATTGAATATATCAATTCGCGCCACTATTTCAAAGCTCGCCTAGTTATTTCTACGATTATCCGCGAGTCTTTCGGCAGTACGAATGAAATGGCACACCCCTTCTCGCTCCTCAAGCATGCGACAAATCATGATACCTGGAATATAGCTGCCGATAGGTTACATGAAAAGGTTGTGGAACTATAAGCTATACAATTACGAAATTATCTATATGCGGTCGTCTTGTGCTGTGCACCAACTACTCGAGTCTATAACTAAAGTACCATTAAATTCATATCTGCGTCTATTTTCCAAAAATATAGGAATTACCTTAGGTCAATCTCATGATTCCATAAGTAACCGCAATTATTAAATCAGTTGCTTTATAAGGGGTTTCTGGGGTAGGAATCGTATAAACCTTTCTTCTTTTACTACAAGAATTATATAGCGGATGAAGCTACAGCTAGTACTAATAGATTTAGGCCTAACTAGATATCTATAGTATCAAGTGTTTAATTGTAAAGCCTACAATATTTTCCCAGCTTATGGTATGGCCTATATTACCTGGCTAATTGATTCTTATAGATCTCTAGTATATTGAATATCATGAGCCGTACTATATGCTGTGTTCTCCAGTCTTGATCTTCTATGCATTACTCATGTTGCTCATCGAAAAGCGCTGTTATAATTAATCTTCTAGGCAGAGGTGCTATGTATGCACACCTTAAACCCCGCTGTTGGGAGCGATTTAGGGAGTTTGCTTCCCGCCATTTACAAGGTTGAGGGATGTTGTAATAGTGGTTAAAGAAGAATAAGGATGATAATAATGTACGGTCCTAGGGAAGAGATGTGAAGGAGAGAGATGGGACCAAGCCCATACAATAAGGATAATAAGGAGATCATCTAAGCTATCACAAGTCCCACTCATAAACACGTACATACCTACACCTTCTACTCAAGCACGTGCCTGCCGTATCTAATAACCTCTCTCTACATGTACTACCTGATGAATGAGTTTTGTAGTGAGTTGCGGTATTTATGCTTGGGTAGTAGTTACCTAACCTTTTAGGCATGTTCGGTACGTACATTGCCATGACCATGGCAATGACAATGGCAATGGCATTGGCAATGACAACGGAAACAGCAATAGCGACAACTACCAGCACGGATATGTGCCTTTGAGATACATGTAATGATAATATGTATAGGTTACAAAGGTAGTTACATGTAGCTGGCTACATAATCAGTGTATTAGGTACTTACACTATTGGTGGTATTCTCACGATTTGCCATGTTCCTTAGGACCTTCCTTAGGATCTTCCTTAGGACTATAATATCAGACTGGTCCATTTTAAAGATATGTACCAAAATGGTAAAATGAGGCCGCTCTTTCCAAAGCATTGTCTCTATGTATTTCTAGCTGTTAATCAAGGAAAGTACAGGATTGATAATTCCTTCTCAACTTGCGTGCGTTGCTATGGATATGAAAAAAATCTAACAGAGTAAGAGCGAACTCACTGTCATTGCCGCGTACAAAGACGGCAGCTGCGCTGACCCTTACCTGCAACGAAGCTTCCAAGGTTAGACCACAAAGTTCAATATTTATTCAGACCTGATTCTTTCGGACCTGAATATTTTTTTCTTCTTTCACAATTCACAACCTTTTTCCATCGCCATCCCAACATCAATCCTTTTGGGCTGCGAATCCATTCGACATAATACACATACTTAATCCAAATATCCTTTCCTAACAGAAGCTTTACCTGAAACCTCAAGTCATCTTTTTGGTTGACATACCCTGTGGGCAATAGCTTCACTGAGTATCAATAGGTATTAAGTTCTGTCTACTTATTCTTGACTACATCTACGTCGCTACCTTTGTCACCCTTTCAGGTATGTGTATTCATTAAGCATCCTTCTCTCTCACTATACCTCTTTCGTCTCTCTTGAGATATTCACATAGCCAGCTAGATCTGCATACTGACTATTTCTATTAGAATAGCGACATCATATCAAGATGGCATCCGAAGCCGAGCTTCGTAAGTTCATACACGTTGGATTCTTGGTTAGCCAGTGGGTTGATCGCGGCCGTTTGCAATCCGAAATTGAATACCTTCGTCGCATGGACTTATATAAGAAGCTGGGTGATTGCCCCCAAGATAAAGTACTCGAATTCGTGGAATACGTGACAGCCCGTCCCAGCAATTGCGATGGTCTGGAACGCTTTTTCAATACGGGTCAGTGGCTGGACCTACACCCTTATGACGAAGAGGCAATGAGAGAGACCCAGATCTTCAAAATTGATCAACAGCTATCCCAATTGGACGGTTCCACCATGGACGACACTAATCCAAGTCAAGGTGATATCGATATGTGTCGCGCTGACGAAAGTGAGCCTGACGCTTATATCGGTGAGTTTCACATCAATGGTGAGCTTAGCACTGTCGGCGAGTCTCATATCAATGGCGAGCTTGATATTGATATCGATGAGGACGAATCCGACTATGAGGGCGCAGATACATCGGAACTACTATGTCCATTCAACGCTTTCTTCTTGGGAACCAATTACACCATGATTCATTGGCCCTACCCTGCTACCCATATGACATGGGTTAAGCGTGTCTGGTGCGCCCTTGACTTTACTCTCCCAGAGATAGCAAAGGACGCTGCCGCAATGATACTTCTGGCCGACAGGAAGAAAGGCTGCACCCTTAGCCCCGTCTTCAAATTCCTAAATCAGCAAGCCAAGCTTAAAATGCAGAGTGTGGAGGCCTACTCTATCCCGCGTCTATACCTAGCAATTCTCCAAGCCATGGCCGTATGCGATGACGAGGCCAAATCTTACATCTACAAGCTCGTCCCGTCTCTAAACTTAGGCGAATGCTCTTTGGTTTCAGATAAGGATCTTCTTAACTTCCGAGGTATCTGGCATTGGGGCTCTTCCAGATCTATAATAGACGTATTCCCCACACACCCTCCTAAAGGCCACAAGATGCGCTATGCTACCCTAAGTCTGACTGATGATTTTAAATGGCCGGTGGACTGGGCAATGGACTGGGATGAGGAATCGTCCAAAGGAGAGCGCCTCTGTTTCGAAAAGATTGCTCCGCATTGGGAAGCGAACCTCATGATGAACAATCGTTTGTCAAATGTTGATCAGTACTATGGAGGCGTTTGTTTGGCAGCGCCGATCAATCCACATAGTCTAACGAAGGTGCCACAAGGACTTCCGCCGAGTGACATCAAAAGATACATGGATATGATGCAGTCGGCGGTCAAGTATCAAACTTTGAAAGGGCAACTGAAGCTGATGATCAACAATGACAGTATCAATGGAGATTCCGTCGATAAGCTTTTGGAGCAGGTTGAGCGTATCTAGAGTTGTATATTCCTTTTCGGTAGTTTCTTTTCTATGGTAGGATTTTCGCCTTTCGGAATGGCCAGAGAGGGAGGAGAGGGAGGAGAGGGAGGAGAGGGAGGAGAGGGAGGAGAGGGAGGAGAGGGAGGAGAGGGAGGAGAGGGAGGCGAGAGAGGAGAGGGAGGCGAGGGAGGAATAATGTAGTTAGGGAGATGACCTAGGCTCCGTTACTACCTGTTATGATAATTGTATTCTATTAGATAGGTATATGAATTATTTGTCCCAAGCTTAACGGTCCCACTTTCAGCTCCTACTCCTCCCGGTGTCCTTAGCTGTCCCAAGATATCCTCACTAACATGTCAAGATCCTATCGCTAGCCATGTCACGCCGCACGAATATAACACCGTATCTGCCCAGCTATCTGCATGGACCATGAACCCATGAGAGTTAATCTCTGTCGCGTAAACCTTGACTCTAAAATTGGAGCCTCCTTTAACACTTGCGGTATTCATGCTAACCAACACCGTCGGAATTGAGCTAAATTCCTTTGCGAACTTGACCAACCCTTCGGTCTTCTCTCTAGGATGATCCCATGGTCTAACATTGCCTGTATTCCAAGTCCCGCTGTCGAGTTTAATCTTTTCAGTTGGCGGTGGAGAAGTCACAACAACCTCAAGTCCAACTGACCGGAACTCAAGCTCTGCAGTCACATTCTCAAACTCTACCTTGAGCCATAATGCCAAGCCTTTTCCCTCCTCTTCCGCTTTGACGTGGCGGTCGTGCAGCGGAATGGTGAAGTCTCCAGTTTTGCGCAGCCTCTTCTTCTGGAAGACCTCATCGCTGCCGGACATAATTACTACCTCGTCAACACGTGCGGTTTGAGACGAGAAGTCAACAGCCACCTTGTTGTAATAGGAAATAGTACTAGGTAGGCCGTGGAGAGGAAATAGAACAGTTCCTTTGAGTTCCCCGGCTTTCGTCGGTCGTATCACCGACCCTCCTTCGTTGGCTGTGATGCTGAAGGAGTTGTCTAAAGTGTTGATGGCTCCGGCGCCGTGAGACGATACCCACACTCGCATTTTGAAAGTCTCTAATAATGTAGAGAAGGTTAGCTTGTTGATGTTGATTTGCTAACTCGTTCAACTGGTCAATACTCACTAGCTTTTGGTTTGGATAGGTATGATATTATCAATTTATTTACCCGTGAGTTGAATACAATAATGATACCTGGTGTCAATGTATAGAAGACTAAAAAGCATTGAGTTTCTTCTAGCAGAGTGTCTAATATTTAAATGGTAAGAACTAGGCGTGATTGATGGGGGTTGGTAGCGGTCATTCTAAGCTACACACTTATCCCACTCGTACAGTAGGAAAGGCAAGGCTGGTTACGGGGGCCGAATACGACGCTAAGACTTGTGATCAGACATCTTTGCGTATTTAACTCAAGGATAACGAGTGGTGTTAGCAATGGTATTTTATAACAGGAACCTTTTACCTTGATATGAGCTTTTTTAAGATGCAGTACCAACTCTCAATAATAGTTGAGATTCAGAGTTCATACTTGGGGTTATTGGAAGCTATGGGACTGATTCATGATGTAGGAGAATATAGCTATTAATTTTTCTAATTGTTTCTTCTGTTTCACCTATACCTAATGTAATGTTTATGTTCTGGCTGAAGACTGCAATCATGCGCTGACCCCTTTTCAGTCGTTACTACTTTCTGGCCTACATAGTAGCTGAGAACATACGTAACAATATATCCCAAGCTTCCTAAAATATTAAATGTCAGCCAGTCCAGAAGACGCCACTTGACGCAAGTCGGGCAACGGGATAATTGTAAAGATCTGCATACGGCATTAAGGAGCTTGCTGATGAAATCGCCTAGGGTATGGGACGCATATGCCAGTGATAGCCACGATGTACTTACCGTAACGGATATACTATTATAGCCATGGTAAACATCACGATTATCATGATTTTTAGAACTTTCATAGCTAATTCAGTCATAAGAAACTACAATTTAAATGCTCTTTAACCACCAAACACGTCTAACAAGTTTAAAGCTAGTTGTGATCACAACCGTGCAATAGGGGGGCAACCTCCTTATTGCCCAAGAATCTATAATCATAGGCGTCGTAATCAACCAGAGACAACTTACATATACAGAAAATTCTGCTTCGTCTAAACGTATCGGTTTAATCCCGAGCTAGGCCGCCTCCCAAAGCCTTATTATTTTCCAAATCCTACACCTGCAACTACAATAGCACCATACGACTTACGCAATCTATCATCTATATACAATATAACTCTATACTCATCATGCAGGTCTATATTTCAGCTTACAAGCGGCTTGGAAGAAACCGCAACACCCATGTCAAGAGGCTGGTACCCCGCCCCTTACTCTGCAGGCCAACCAAGCTGAAAATACGTTTTGGGACGTTGGCAAACATCAGGCACAATAATAGAGATACTCAGGGCCAATGATGATTGTTAATTCTAATACCGAACTATACTTAATCCAAACATAAGAATCAATTAGGTAAGTTCTCTGCATTATTGTGTCGTATAGCATCAGTCTACCTACGGCCTCGACGACACTTTACCGCGTCTTAGTTTAAACGCCATCGCAAATTGTCCAATCAACAGAAATAATAACAGATCAGTAGGAAAGTAAAAATGTAACAATCGCTACACCTCGAGAGACAGCTAAGGAGGCTATGCTGGAGTATATCGATTACTTTAGGTACGTCGTCCTTTTTGGAAGATTACGTATTGTAGACCAAGGCAACCTGACCCCTCTTCTAGATCACGCCTCAAGCGGTTGATACCTAACCTATCAAAGGAAGAATACATCGCGAGATCTCTGTCTTGATGTGCCGCCGCTTCTACATGATGAGGAGTCACGTTGGAGAGCATCGCCGACGGCGATATTCCAACCCCAGACGTACTAGGTCTGAGACAGGCGTCTAGCATCATAGCCAATGATACAATAGCTTGAAGGAAATGAGCATAATCATACTGCGCAGCTTCATCCATTCGGGATCCGCGATTTTGAGAAGATCGTAAAAGGAAACGTTGTGATTTTCAACACCAATATGCATCGTTGCCAAGCTCAGAGAGAAGCTGAAAGAGCGGCAGGTAGGAGATGCGCCTGCAGAATACCTTCACGATGCATCCCGAAGATGCGACATAATGTCGGCGACCACTTCATGGAGTTGATATTAATGTACAAATTACTACGACCGGTTGGTTCTGGATAGTCCTGGAAAAAGTATATATATCGAGGTTTACGACTACATATTAGTCCATCTCAAGCAGACAGATCATCTTAACCACCAGTCTTCAGTCACAACTTCCATCAGGACAATCCTACTTGACTCTCAGAAAGTAAGAACAAACACTTATCAATCACACCCCAGAAGTCTTGAGCAGAATGTAATTAGCTAACAACTCATGAGAAGAACTCTCGACTTACACGTCAATAAACCTCATCAAAATGACTACCTGGATCTCCACCCACGGCATCGGTGCCATCAAGGACAGCACCTCCTCATTCTCCATCACCGCCGACAAGGGATCCGCTCTCGTCAAGCCGACGAGCCCGAACGAGCTGAGCGGATGGATCCACTTCACCATCCCCAGCCCTCCCGTCAACAACCCGAACCTCAAGGTCGTCGCCGTCGACTTTTCTTCCCAGTCGGCCAACGTCGATGCTGTGGCCATCTACCTTGCCAACTTGGTCAAGTTCAAGGAAGAGGGGCTCCAGAAGGGACAGTCTTTCTCCCTCACCATCAACTCCGCCCAGGCTACCTACCAGGGCAAGGGAATTTCCGTCTCGGTCCTCGTCCAGTTCGACAGCGTGGCCTCCAACCTCAGGTTCCAGTCTGTTGGAATCCAGGTCTAGATAAGTACGGAATCCCTCACTTACCTAACTATCATAAAATCCATCTAATAAAGCTAGTAGACAAAACCACGATATGATCGAGCATATCTCACTGGGATGTGCCAAGTGAAACTGACAGGAATGGAATATTCTATTCCTTTCAAACTATGAAGTTGGATCTATACGGAAGTCTTGTTTTAGGGTACCCTTGATGGGACCGATTATCATTTCATGTTGGAAAATTCTTTAAACATGTGCACATGTTATTCAATCGTTTAGTAGCTCTATAAGCCAATCCAACACTATTTATCTACCAATTTTTAAGAGGTGTCGTTGCTACCGGTTTTCCTTAAGAATGAGTTTGAACGAGGTAAAGGTAAAACATCACTTATAGGGCTTGTGTGGGTCTTGTCAAATAATCCATACCCCTATTACTATTTCGCTTATATCATGACCTTCTTTATAATACAGTATTGTCGTAGCACACATACACCTTAGAAGTTAACTATATAAAAAAAGGGGGACAGGATGCAAAATGTAAAAAAGTAAAACGTACAACACCAGGGATTCGCTGGTCGTCACCGACCCAACTACTAATCCGGCAATATCTGGCTTGTCTAGGGGAGAGCGGACGGGATCCCGAATTTTCCAGATTTTATGGTCGTACGTGATATTTCAGTCTGTTTCAATGACATATATTTTATCACGAAACTGACCTTAACAACTTGGCTCGTCGTATTACATAAATAGCCGAGCTACTATATAAAACGATCTCTAAACTGTACATAGCAAAGCTCGAACTTAGCTCTTTAATCAAGACTATTATACACTTAGATCTCGTGCACTTTAAATGACTGATCGTAATTCTACGTGAGTTATTTAAATATTTTGTCGGACTCTTTTACTTTATTGCTTTAGGTACCTTAGGTAACCTACCTGTTATTGAAGAGTACCTAGGTACATAGAGGCAGCCCGAGTTTGGCTATGCACGTGCCAAATACTGCCCGTTTCTCTTATTCGGGCTATGGAATCCATACTGTAAACGGCGTAAGATCATTTGCCAGGTACTCTGCGCCACCGCGTATAATTTGACGGGATCGATAGGCATATCTGCAGTTAGCCGCGATTTCAAAATTGTCCATAAGATATCTAGGAAGAGCAGGAATAATACCAGTCGATTTGTGAACGGAATCCGGGAATACATACCTATGCATGTAAGCGATGAAGCCTCCGGTGTGGCTGAATACAAACGGGGCAGGGAAGTGGTTGAGGAGAGCATAGGTAAGGTTGAAATGGGACGATATTATGATGAGTTTCTGCTCCTTGGTGGTTTTCTCCCTTCTTTTTCTTTTGCCTCATCTGTTAGCATATTGTTTCATGCCGCTTGTCACAGTTGATAATGCCCGAATCTGAAGGAATCCAAGTAGGAGGCCTGGGTGACCCAGCTCTCTTGCAGAAAATCGACAAGTTACGGAGTTTGAATATCTCCCCTGCGGTACCACTGACTCAGGTATACCTGCCTTAGTTTATTGTTACCTAAGTCTTGTATATAACTGACATCATCTCGCACAGCTTGTTGTGGTTGGTGACCGATCCGTTGGCAAATCTAGTGTTCTCAAAAGTTTAACTGGGTTTCCCTTTCCACGAGCCACCAAATACGGCACTGGTTACATCATTGAGGTCGTCTATCGGAGAAGTAATACGGAGAGAATCCTGGCATCCATGCGGCCCGCCCCCAGATCCTGCATGTATAGAGCTGCCGAGTTACGCGCTTTTGAAGTGGAACTTTTACCAAAAGACATAAGTAGCAAAGGATTGCAAGATCTATTCAAACAGGTATTTTTCTCCTCTCACGGATAGACCCGACATACAGCTTATCTCGTTACTTATTATTAAATAGGTTTCTATCATTCGTCAGGATATCGATCTACGTTATTTTGAGCCGGAGTACTATAGAGATGTCTTGCAAATCGAGATAACCGGTCCCAGAGAAAAGCATCTGACAATAATTGATCTCCCTGGTTCGTTTTTAGCTATTATATGTCTTAATTTTATTCTAACTCTGTGAGCTAGGATCACCTGATATTCAACGTATGTGTTCTAATTCGAGACTGAACCAATAGCCTAATAGAAAATAGGCACTATAGGTGATACGTTAGTTAGCTCGGTAGTTGAGTCAATAGTGGCTGATTATATCAAAGCGCCTCGAACAATGTGAGTTATTTGCAATGGAATTTTATATCGTATTCGTATATAACTACCGGTTAACACGGTTTAGCATCCTTGCAGTTACCCTCTGCAGAGCTGATATCAAAGCGCGGCACATTGTGAAGAATGTGGAAAAGGTTGATCCTAGTGGGAGACGTAGTATTGCGATACTTACGAAACCGGATCTCATAGCCGAGTATGCATCCAAGAAGGAAATTGTCGATCTGGTCAATCAGGAAGAACCCTTCCTAGAATGCTTCATCGTCAGAAACCGAAAAGAATGCGACCCTACCTCTGATCTTGCCCAACGCAATTACGTCGAGCGTGTATTCTTCAATGAATCTCCATGGGATCAATTGGACAAAGCCCGAGTTGGCATCGGCTCGATTCGATCTCGGCTTCAAAAACTGCTTATAGGACACACAGAACAGTACTTCTTTGAAGTCAATGAGGAAGTGACAGCTGCCATTGCGAAGAATAAAAGATTTCTGAAGTTATTGGGTGAACCTCGCGTCGACACTGACAAGCAACGAACATACCTTGTCCGCGCCGCTATCCAGTTTTCAGACATTGTAAGGCATGCCTTAGATATGAAAAACAATGAGCACCCGGTCTTGTCTCAAAACTCCCGGCTACAGCTTGCCGCTAACTTGCAGGAAAATAATGAAGCATTTACCAAGATGCTATTTATGAGAGGACATCACTACAAGTTCAAAGGCGAAGATGATACAAACAATTTCCAAGTGTCGCCAATGTACCAGGGTTATCTTTGCCGGGCAACTTATCAATATCCTGAGTTACAGGGATTACTTCATGAACCATTTCACTGTCTAGGTCCTTCTAAGGGAGATCTTATCGACTACATTCAGCAGATATACTCGCCTTCCGCTAGAGACGAACTCGATGTTGTAAGTTATGACTCACACCACTATAATTCAATAGCTTGCGATATTGTGTTTGAGACTCATAGGTACTAATAAGCTTGGTAGTTTGGAAATCCTATACTACCCATAGTATTCAGAGAACAGTCAGAGAAATGGAATAAGATTACTCTAACTTATCTCTCAAATGTCATTTATATCATCCACGAGTTCATTTACACGGCTATGAAGATAGCCTCTCCGGATGGCGTGGTACGACGTAGGTTTCAAAAATTTCTCTCAAACGATCTTCTTGACTACTATCGTCGTGCCATGAAGCATACGGAATTCCTCTTACAAATCGAGTGTAAGGGTAAAGTAGCCACCAGCAACCCCCATTTTTCAGAACTTCTGGCTAGCAACCGAGAAAAACGCCTGAAGCATACGATACTGGAAGACAACAAGGACACCTCTACATCCACCAAACAAAGGAATCATGCTACGGTAGAAACTGATGCCAAAACAGCCATCACTGGAGTAGCGCTGCCTTCCACGGAGCATATTTACGGAGACGTGCACGATATAATAAAGACGTACTACGAGATAGCTCGTGCGCGTTTCCTAGACGGGATTGATCAACAAGCCGTCACTCATTTTTTGCTAGATGGCGAACAGAGCGTTTTCCAGTTGTTTACCCCCGAGCGAGTACTATCTATGACCAACGAAGAGGTGGAAAGCATCGCAAAAGAAAGCCCCGCCAGCACGAAAGCCAGGGAGGAATGGAAACAGGAGATTAAAAGCCTGAAGAAGGCTCTCGAAGTTCTTCGCACCTAGAGGATGAGATGATAATTCAGATGAATTAGGTACGTAGTCGTCAGAAAGAGGGGCCTTCCATAAGCCATGATAGGTAATCTAGATGAGTCAATTTATTATGCCCGTTGTCGACATAAATGAAAAAAAAAATGTAGCATCCCGCAATCTGAGGCACACTGCATGAGTCGTGCCTAACGTCGGGCAGATGCATACATACGATTTGGTGTCCAATTCCGAGGGCGGACAAGATCATGCACATATGCAACTGCACCTACATGCCCAATATATGCAGACCGTTTAAACTGTCGGAGATAGCCGCGTACCCAATTATTATTCTCTGACATGCATAGGTATCTACCTCCTACTTACATAGCACATACGATGCATACATACGTCTAAGTTAGATTAGGTACCTAACTCAATTTCGGGAAACGAAGGCATCGTGAGTTGGCAAGGCGAAATATGCCTCATCATATAACATCTGCAGTCGTAGAGTAAGTTGCAATTACAAACAATCGACACTAAGATGACCCCATTCGCAACGTAGCCTTGCATTCGAAACGGCCCCGTCTGCCGCCAAAAATAATAATAATAATACGCGCGCTAGACCCAAGAGATCGGGCACCAAGACGGGAACCCGGAGTGTCGGTAGTTGCTCAAGTGGAGACAAAGTAGAACATCACAGAACACAGAACACAGCAATTCGAATACCGAATATCACACTCACTCACTCACTAACTCACGGGGACCAAACAATTCTCGACACTCAGACTTTATTTCTATTTCGTCGTATCGTATCTATAAACGGTGATCGATTGGGATACATGTTAGCTACCTACATATATGTACTAGATTCGAGGATCAACACAACAATATCAACAAGAATATTCTTCTTTCCAACATGCAAAAACAGGCCATGACGCGTAAAGGGGGCATAAACATCAAACAACAGTAAAAGTAATAACTAGAGAAAAAAGAAAGAAAGAAAGAAACTTCCAAACACCATTTACCATTTCCCGTAACAAAAAAATATCTCATGCGCTAATGCTGATCTAGAACGAATTATTCATCTCGACGTGCCAACGAAACCCAAGCTTCCCAGTAGTAATAATAGTAGTTCCGTCCCGAATCTAGGTAGGGGTATATAACGATATAACGATACGCCGTCGCCATGCCTGTATAAGACAAAGGAAAGTAATGAAGGGTGAGTATATATGTGGGTTAGGTACCCAAGGTATGTATGTATGTATGTATGTATGTAGGTATGTATATATGTAAGGTTGAGTAAGGTAGGGTAGGGTAGGATACGAAGATTTTGGAAAAAGATCTAGCCCTATGCGGGGTAACATTAGGCTGCCTCTCGGCTCGCGAGATGCAGCCGCAGAACCAGGACGTTGATGGCTCGTCATAGATCGTCCCGGTCCAGTAAACGTAGAGCCGCAGACGACAACCCGCATTGGTGACGGCTCGGGAAGATGTAGTCTCCGGTAGTAAGGTTGTGTGACCACGGTGCGCCCCAGCTATCGAAATCCGAATCCTTAGGTAGAGCCGCGGCTTTAGTCTCGAAGTCGCTAAGCTTGGCTTCAATGTTGTGGAGATATAGGAGGTCTGGGCCAGCCCACTCGTCGATGAGGTTGGCGATGCGTTGGAATCCTTTAGTGTGGCCGCCGCACTCCTTAGATTGAAACCCGCAAAAGACGAATAGGTAACTATGGATGAGCTCATGGATGAAGGTCGAGATGAGCAGACGCCTGTTATACTTCTTGTCCTTGAGAATGCGTCGCGACAGGAATATGAGCGTCTCGTAGCCATCGGTCAGTGGTGACCTCCTCAGTGCGGTGGTGCCGATGAGGCAGCTGGGTAAGTCTCTCCATGCCCATGCGACACGACCCTTAAGCTTTCCGTGGAAGAAGATTTCGTTAGCCGCGTAGAAGATGCCCTGCAGGGCGACATCGTCTATGTCAAACTCGGCCTCGGGCGACTTGGGACAGATGAGGCTCCTGAGGATTCGCTCGTGCTGGGAGACCCTGCTCCTCCGGCGAGGGTCTGCTAGGTCAGCCGCGACAAGCTTGGCCGCCTCATCGTGGGCTTGATCGGCGTGAGTAGGACGGCTCATAGCGGGTGAGTCCGACCGCACCCTGTAGTGTTGAAAAGAGCCAGGCCGCATCGTAGATTCGGTGCGGTGGTGGGCCGCGACGGAGTTTTCGACCATTACCTGTCCGAAGCCGGACGAGCCGGGGCCGGAGTTTCCCTCCTTAATGATGAAGAAAGCCGGACGGGCCAGGGTCTGCTCAAAATCCATGGTTTCGAAGGTATCGGGGTGGTCAACAAACCGGTGGCGCTTAAACGGTTGAAACATTTTGAAGTCATCTGGAAGGCTAGAAAGTTCAGAGTAGCTGGGACGACGCTTCTTGTGCTCGACGTGCTGGCGACGTCGACGATATGGGCCGTCGGGGAGAGATGAGTCGCTTGAGGAGCGCGACATCTCCGTCCCTCCGACGTACCAGCTGGCCATTTGACATTTCTTGAGAAAGTCCTCGATCAGTGTTAAGAAAGATGAAGTTGGACGTGGTACCACCCAGAGGTCGCGGGTGAGATGGTAGACGATGTGTAACTCGGACTTTGCTGTCAAATGTCAAAGGGAAGACTTGCGAATCATCACCGAGTTTTTTTTCGGAATTCTCGCAGTAAAACCCATATAGCGGAGGGGGGGAAAGCTGAGCAAAGTCGACTGCAGGGACGCCACGACAATCAATGGTCGTGCAGGATCCCTCTTGGGGAGATGCGGCGTCGGATTGGTGTATATTGACACACGCAACAGCGGCAGCCGGCTAAGCTGGCTGTTAGCCTCACTCTCTAAGCAGGCTGGGTTTGAGCCTGTTAACTGGAGGGACGACAGCAATATGTGGAGGTTTTAAAGGTTACAGCCCTCGGACAAGGCAACGCCAGAGAATCCACTTCTTAAAGAAACGTCTTACTACCCAGATAACCAGACACCTGCTTGGATGGTTGGAATCTTGGCTGACGAACTTTGAGTGTCCGAAAAAAGCTGCCCTCTTTTGTGACCTTCTATGCCCTGTCGTCTGCCTATCTACGCTACAGACCTTTCCGTCTTCGCCTGTTGTGAATTTCATCCACCCCCACAGCTCAAATGTTTAAGAGCCGGACGTAATAGTGGAGAAAAGCAAGGGGTAGTTTTGTTCGATAGGGAAAAAAAAATAAAGCTCTAGTCTGGCAGATCGTCGATGGCTGGTACATGAATGGATCCCGTGAGGAGCCTTGGGGAACGGAGGAAGCGGTGAAAGGAAAATTACGACGGAGAGCCGGGAGAAGCTAGACAAGACAAAGAAACAACAGAGAGCCCATATGCAGGAAAGCTCAATGCTTACAGTACGGTGCCAGACCAGCTTCGAGATGGATTTGCAGTAGTGCAGTGGCGTCTTCAACCGGTCGTATATCCTACTTGCTTAACCTTACCTTTGCTTTACCCATCGTAGTCTCGGGTGCCGGGTTAGAAAGTCTGGTGCTCCAATACCGGGACGAGAAGTGGTGAATGGTGGTTCAGTAATGCGTATTGTTGCGTATGTATGTATCGTACAGCAAATACAGCAAATACGCAGATACGGCAGTGTGGAAAAACCGACCCGAACTTGACAACGCAGCAAGTAAGCAGAATGAACCGTGGTTCTCGGCATTACGTGCCCATCTCCTTGGGAAACCACTTGGAAAAAAAAAAAAAAAAACTAATAGATAGATACATACATAGATACATACATACAGGTCCTACGTACGAAAAAGAGAGGGACTTACCAGTCTAGAACTTGAGATGCGCTGCAATCTACGCGGCGTAATGCAGTGTGCGGGTGGCAATTCGATGTGTACTAATGCTGAGCGACGCCGGGAGTGGGAAAGACGCAAGTTTTTTAAGACATAGAGAGGCGAAAATAGAAATGATTGGCTGTTCTTCATGCGACGGATTGCTGGCATTATTATTATTTTTTTAAAAGTCCTTGGTACCTAGTGGTAGTACCTAACATTAGGTAGTGGCAGTAGTAGCAGTAGGGGAAGGTAGGGGAAAGGTAGGGCAGGTAGGGATAAGTAAAAGGTGGGACCATAAACCAGAATCGGACACCCCCCTGTCCTTATGCTAATCTGAATTAATTTCCATTGGTTACAGCAAAGCCCGCCAAGTTGAACCTGTCCTCTGATTTGTTGCCTCACGTTTTTCAGTTGGCTTAAACCGTCAATCAATAGCTTTGATGCTTAATTATTTTTTGTTGAGGCTAACAACACACGATTCCCATTTTGGATCATTCGAGAGACATTTATGCAGTAAGAGATCCATGTGAGAAGGTGGAAAGGATGAAGGGTGACGAAACAAAGGACGGTGAGAGGAAGGGTAAACCAAGTGATCAGGATTCAGAAATTAGAAGAGAAACGAGAAACGAAAAAAAAGCCAAGTCACGGGATGCCATCAACAACGGCAGAACAGGTGACCCATCACCCCTATCACATCCGCTAAACGTCCCCGTCTTGATCCACTTGCATTTTACGGGGACGCCTTTTGCCTCCGGGACCTAACCAATGATCTATAAAATATCGTGATAAGATAACGCAATCCGCCTCGATTTCCAGTGTTTCATCGCTCCTCCGAGACTGCCGATCCCTTCTCGTCCAACGTGGATAGTGAGATCATGACTCAACCTCTAGCTAACTGAACCAGAGATTATGGTAATCTAAATCTGCTAGCCCGCGTCTTTATCTGTGTGACGTGGTTAAATCCCCTTGCTCGATAGAGTGTACCATCGAAGCGGAGCAAATCAGATGCTAATATTTTAGATTCCGCTGTGGAGGCTGCCAGCCCCGAGGTTCTGCACGAACCGGACGTCTCGAGCCTGTCGTTCTAGCGCTAGCCTCATTCTCTCGCCGTACATTTGTTCATCTTCTTCTGCTGCGATATCTTCCGGCGTCCTGGTGTTTTCCTCGAAATCCTCCGGAGAGAATCCAGGTTGGGACGAGAAGCTGAGCATTCCCAACCTCTCTCCGGTCCAGAAGAGGATGTCTTCGTCGTTAGCCTGGATTTCGCCGTCTTGCCCCGGCGTCCGCGTGGATAGGATCTTTCTTGCGATGTCGTCCGACCCGGGCATCGACCCGAAGAGCGAGCGCTGGGCGACTCTTTCGGACTTACCGATCTTGTGACGGCGCACTTCGGTAAAGCCGTCCCTCTCGACCCACTTTAGGTATCCTTGCCCGTCGGAGAAGACGATTCTGGTGCCGTGATTCATGACGGAGAGGAGCTTCGACTGCGAAGCTGTCTGTCGGTTCTTCAAGGAAGACTTCTGGATGACCGGCTCTCGTGGTGAGTCGTCCGCGCCAGGGGACAGGCCGTACAATTCGAGTGATCCCTTGGTACTATACTCGCCGCACGCTATTAGGGTTCTTCCGTTGGCCGTGCTCCTACCCTTCTCGATTGGTTCGTCGGAAGGTAGGATGCGCTGGCGGAGATCGCTGTATAGAGTGGCAAAAGGGAATGGAAGTGATGTGAGACTACAGAGCCGGGCCCCCGAATGGACTGATCCCTTGATCGTTGGAAACATACGCCTGTCGTAATGTAAAATATTTGAGAACCGTCCTGCTACGAAGATATCGTCCGATAGTTGGCTGGTGTCCGAGCGTCCGAGGTGGAGAATGCTCTGAGGTCCCGACTGAGCAAGAGAAGCGTACGGGGCTAGCGGCCTAGGATCTAATACGTGGGAGAAATTCCGGCCGCTCTTTCTACTAATATTATCTAATTGTATATGGTGTTCGTTTCGATATTTCGATCTCGCTCTAGAATCGTGAAAGTGTAGGCCATGGATCGTACCGACTGTTAAGGGGACGTTGGGATCGGCAGGAGAGAGCGTAGTAATCGACCATTCGAAAGGATAATCCTCGACGACTTGTAGCGTTTTGAGGTCGACCTCGATAAGATCTACAAGGAAATCAACGGCCGTCTTATCATCAAGGGAGGAAGGACTTACTGCTCTGGATAGCGAAAAAGGCTACATGATTTACGCTGTCAATGCTGACGCATTCAGTCACCCCTGTATTGATCATCTTCGAACGTCTTGATAGATCAGCGCCCGGACCGTCAGCGCACAAGAGACCAGGGTTAGATCTGGATAGTATTGATCCCTTCCTACTTCGAGTACCTTTTACATCCCACAGGCAAATAGAGCCATCATCGAGTGGTGATACTGCAAAGAGCTCGTTTCCGCCTGGTGGGTTATATAGAGCAATCCCGCTAGCATCTAGATGGGTCCTTATAGAGCCTGTCTGAACTTGAGGCTGTTCGAACCAGCTAACCGCAATAGGTCCATATCGATGAATGTATTCATTATACCAATTCGTCTTTTCGTTAGGAAATGTCGGGTCCCAGTTAGCGGCAATACGAGCTTGTTCCCGCTTCCTTCTCTTAGATGATAGCTGAGATAAACTTTCGAGTCGGTTCCAATGCACCGCATTTTGATCATCTTGTGTCTGGTTCGCTTGTCCTGCAGCCGTAGGCACGCCGGTCAATGTCGCGCCATCTTCGTCTATCCAATCAGAGCCCAGTCGGGATAGCCTAATGCGTTCACTCACGGCCGAGGCGGATAAGCTTCTATCTCTCCAGAAGTTACCATCTCGACATAATCCTAAGAAATGTTTGGAAGCGCTTTGGAGAATAACGACGTCGCGCGATTCTAGAACTAATGATAAATTCTCTGTTAGCAAGCAATTGGGTCTATTAGAAGCGAAGTAGAATTGCGATAGTAAAACTTACAGGAAAGGATGTGGAGGAAGATCTCGTCGGGAAGTTTTTCGAGCAGGCTGGTAACAGTCATCGTCCGCAAGAAATTCTAACAGTATTCTAACTCCTACAAGACGCAAGACGGAAACAAAATGCCAATAAGTAACTAAGTAGCAACTCACAAAATAAGATAAGTTATACCTACGGTAGCTAGAATAAGTAAAGAGATTTAATTAGCTGAATAATCAAAAGTAATCTAATAAAGATAGGATCGGAGGAGACTTGAATAGAAATCCCCTCTTAACTTATCGGGGCTGAATGACGAAAGCGACAATGATCGATGGATCTAGAGTCGTCCCCGCCGTTTTGCTAAAACACCGCTAACCCACACAGGCAGTCAGGTTAAATCTACAGGTCCAAATAGGGGGGGTCGCGGGGTTTATTTGACGCTCCAACCAATTCTAACTAATTCCAACGATGTTACCACACCAGGTTAGCTAAGATCAAGGCCCGAATCTTCGGGAAGAGGACCGTGCACTATTTAAGTGGTGCACGGTCTCGATAACATGCAGTTCGGCATTATCAGTCTATCAGTTAACCCGGGATAGAAAAGGTGGGTACCTATCTTTAGCAAGGGTTACAAACTAAGCCACTTGTGGCGTGTTATTTCTAACGACATCAATGAACTTTCACAGTGTTTTTTACGTATGGTCAACAGGTAGGTATATAGCGTCGTTAAAAAAGAGATGCCCTATATTGACAATAATATTAAGCATCATATTCTGTAGTTGTCTTTCACATCACTAGTCTAATATAAATATTGTAATATCATCCATGAATAAAAATGGGAGATTTCTAGAGCAAAAACACCGAGTTTTGCTAATCATATATTTTGAAAGATATGCATGTGTGAAAAGATATACCTAGGTAAGTAGATGAGAATATTGACATTGACATTGTATCATCCATGTCCCATCATGCGTTCTGATAATATTATACCTCTCTTCAATAGATATATCGTGCTAGGGAGACTTGTTATGTTCCTTAGCTGGTATGATACCTATCATCGTGAGCGAATTTGAAGTTGGGTTTTTACTCAATAGAGCACTGGAAGTTTTTTATCAATCTGAATTAATGTTCCATATCAAAAACAAATCCTTCCTTTTCAGCACCTTTTAAATCATTAAATTCTTCCCAAGTCTTTGATATAGACATATTTATGTCTGACCACACCGTATCTCTTTTTATGTCTACAGCGAGTAAACCATCATATAACGATTGATATACTATCTTCTAATGCACATTTTACCTAAGAAATGTGATATTACCAAGTTATATAAAATAAAATAGTTCCATACATTACCCCTTTAGCTCATATTTGCCGTTGTTTAAGTTAATTATCAACCCATGTAAATAAACCACATCTCACCAGGTAAATAGACACGAGGTACGAATAGCTAAGCTACTAGTTTTGTTTGGCTGGTTTGTGCTAACTTAGTAGTGTACCAATAGAAATGCTTCCAATTACACCAAAGCTCCGGGTGAGGTTTATGCGAAAATTCAGATGACTGGGTATGAGGGCATTATTCCACCTTTTTGTATCGTCTGCTGCTAGTTCTTGCATTAGGAGGTAGTTTTGTTTGTTTGTTTGTCAGGTAGCCAGTAAATATCACATGTGTAGACTTTGTGGACTCCGTCAACATCTCGCCAACCTTGCCAGCCTTCTCAGCTGTCAACATTTCTCATATTACTCACCTCATATCCACACCTACAGAGAAAATTATTTTCTTTACATCTTTACAAACTTCAAGAGTTCCGGCAATCCTAGTGGTAATATTTTATGTTCCTTCCCTCGAGGAAATTATGCGATCAGTTCGTACCTTCAATCGCACCTACAATCGTACCTTCCTCCTTCATTGAACACCCACGCCTTTCTCGTCGCAGATCGGAACTTAACCTTCAAACTACAGGTACATACATCTGGGTACATCAGCAATTTGTACCTTTACTGTATCCAGCTTCACCTTCGTTGGTCGCATGACCTGGTGGACCCGTAGCATCTGGCCCAAATAACCACAAACCACAACACTTCACCCTTTACCCTGATTTACTTAACCCTGTCTACGACAACGAAAAATCAAGCATCGCGCGTCTTCCACGTCTTATATCGTTACTTCGATGACCAACTATTCATATTATTTGATCATTAATTGAAACCCCTGATGATTCTATTCATTCTATTATATCTTAAGCCCACTCTTTTCCAGAGAAGACTCCCTGCGCGTCGCATAGTTCTCTACCGACGCATCCTTAAACTATTAGCCATTATTCTTCCTGCATCTGAGGGGTACGTACATAGCGATATATTCCTACTCGTCATTTCCCTCTAATTTACATCATTACGTTGCCATCTATATACATTATTACCCGTCTTCTTCCGTTGAGAAGTCTACTGGTTTCCCATAATAGCAGCCTTACTTTTCACATCATTTTTCTCTACGGTCATCGGCGATAGCCTTCAAATCTCATTTATTAATGAAGGAATAGTTACTTTGACAACGATATCGTCGACTATGGCATCGATTGAAAGCAAGGACGACGGAGGCCGCAAATCTTTGGAAAGCGTCTCACAAACTCAGGCATCTGGAACTGGGAGGAACTTAACTCATCGCCGCCCTCGCTTCACCAACCTAGGTGAAGCACACCGGAACATCACTTCCAAGAGCGTACCTGATAGTAGTGTACATGTATCTCAGAAGCTTGACGAAGGAAGTGACGAGAGTCGCGATAGCTCGCAGCAGCTGGCCAGTCTAGTTGGAGGATTCGCTACTTGCTCAACTTTATCCCAGCACGACTTCCTACCGAATCCCATTACTTCCTCCATTGCAAAGCCTTTTGCACCATTTCATGCCGACTCTACAACCTCCACATTTCCTACTGCAGACGTGCCCGAGCCGACACCAGAGGCTGATGTGATAACAGAATCTCCAGAGCACAACGTCTCGAGTCCTAAGATGGACGAATCTCTAAATGAGTCTGGCAATACGGTAGAGAAGATCGTCGATCACTATGCCAACCATACTCTTAACGGGTTGAACACACCTCGCGCCGCGACGAGGTGCGGATTTCGAGGGGAGGAGACGCGCCCTGCGCACCGTCGCTACTTCCAGGCTAGCTCACTGGCATCGAATCCGCCGCAGGGTGGGCTACCAGAGATACCCCTTGGCCATTCGCGATCTAGGTCCGTCCTTCAAGGGATTAACGAGAGCAGCTCGCCTATCACTGAGACAACCGTATCTAATTCGCAACATCTTCTTGACGTCGAGGCACAGGCAAGCGAGCTTCAAGATGCCCATAAGCCATTAATGCCCTCACCCCTCCGGCCCCATTTAGAACGGAACCAAAAGTCCGGACTACTTCGCAATGAGCAAATCAATACCACCGAGTCTTCCTTCAATGATATCACAAGTAGTTCAAATAATGACCCTTTTAGGTATGATCAACGAGACTACTGGGGAGCTCCTTACCTATGGAAGGAAAGGGAGGTTAGTCAAGCTCTTAGACGAGCGAGCAAAGTTGGAGACGCCAGCGAAACCACTATTGCTACTCCTGAAGCTAGCCCGCGCCCTGCACTATGGCCGGCACCCAAATCAGCTCCTCGCCATGCTAGTGTGGCCTTGGGCAGTAAGCGTCCAGAAGGCCAGTTCTTTCATAAACCTGCACTTCAGTCTACCTTCGAAGACGACGAAGGCCAGACCCAGGAAGTAAAAATAATCATCGGCAGCCCGCCAGAGCCCCAAAGAAAGAGAGAGCTAAAGCGCGACAGAGTTAGTGGATTGGCCACGGATCACTTCCAACTAGACAGCCTACCCGCTGGCTTACCCCTTAGAGATTCTACTGCCAATCAAACTTGGGTGACGGACGGTTACAGTGATATCATAAAGGTAGCTGGAAGCAGCATCGCAGACTATTCAGATGACGACGGCGAAGGAAACCGACCTAGTTTATGCGGTTCGAGCTGCGCTATTATCCAACACCCCCTTAAAGACAACGATCCGGGATTGTACGGGTTACGAACATTGAAAGACACCAAGAGATCAGTACTCCTTCCAAAGACGAGGCTTTTCCGTGGCGGCGCATTTCAAGACAACTCTTCGCGCTACTTCTCGGGCAGCACTTCAAAGAACACCGGCTTCAGTCAGCTACCACCTTTTCCTCGAGGACTTTCAAACCCCTTTGGTAAAAAGGAACCCTATCGAAATGCAGACTCCGAGGGAAATTTTACTCTCAATTTCAAAAGAAACGGGCCTTCTAAGTATGATTTCCGCGACTCTACTTCGGAATACATGCCGAGCGTCCGTGGAAGCCGGGTCCTATCGGGTATCTCATTCTGTAACAGACATATAATCACAAATGAAGATGAGCTAGAGATGGAGGACCTCTCGAAGCATGTTCACGAAGATGCCACACTTAGAACACCCGGACTAGAGACCACTAGCAGCAAGCAGCAAGAGGTGGGTTCGCCACTGAGCGAACGAGCCAAACCGCAGCCATATGAACCTCGCCTTGTAGACCAGGATTATCCTATCCGCTACGGTAACTGGTTCCAGGAGGAGAAAAACCAAGAAATGGCTTCCCATTCCTCATTCAATGCCTCGTTCAATGGGGAACCTATCTCCCCCCAGTCCAAATTCGAATTTGAGCTTCTCCCCCTTGATGAAGCGCAGAGAAAGAATAAGCAGCAACGAGAGAGTGGCGAAAAGGACGAGACGGAGTCCCCATTAAGCCGATCTCACCGCACGGTTAGCTCCTGGTCTAATTGCAGTCCTCCGACCTTAACTGCGGTTCAGCTTCCGATGCCGGTTCACGTTTCAAGCGGCCGAACAGCTCCCCATTTATCGCTTGACTTCAGTCCTTCGACCCACCCCTCTTACGGCGATGTATTCAAGGGTAAGTTTGCATACTTCAATACTAGAGGACCTTGAACTAATAAGAGATAGACACTCCCACTCCGTTCTCTGCTTCGATCCATCGCGGTTCAACTCCCACGCCTGCTCGCCCAGCTCGAGCGCTATTATACCAAGAGGTGTTATCCGAGAGCCCTACTACCACTAACACACTGGAAAAGGTAAAACGATCGCTGTTGGGTCGTTTTGTGCCTCGGATGTTCTCTTCGGAGACACGTAGCCACAGGACCGCCTCTAACACGACGGTTATTCAATACCCTATGCCTAACGACAGCGGACTGAGCCTCGTGGCTATAGAAGCTCTCAGAGAATCGAATATTTCACGACACGGCAGCAGAAAGCGAGCTCAGTGGTTCCGACTAATGGCGATTCTGTCCATCGTTATCCCCTTCTTTGCAATTTTCGTCCTTACCGGAGTATTCGATAAGACGTTGGTTTGGTACTCCCGTGGTGAAGTGGGCCAGATAACCATCAAGCAGCGAGGCTTTATCAGAAATGCGTTACTCGTCCAAGGTTGCTTCTACGTCTTTGTCGTTTCGTGCCTCGTCGCGGTTTTCGTTAGGATGCATTAGTCTTCTACATGCGAAGCGTTAGAATGATGTCTCTAGGTGACACTAGGAGCAGATGTCACCTGTTCTATCTACCGTCTAAAGTCGCTCTTTTAAAATTTGGCTCATATTGGCCACAGCCTCTCATTTTACATTCGCACTACCGTATTATCGGTTCGACAACACTTTAACTGACTACATTCACTTTTATCTTCGAGTAAGAATCTGAGTAAGTGGGCCATTACAGGGGATTCTTGGGAACCGCCTCCAATACTTGCCTCAAAAACATGATGTTACCTCTAAAAGCCTTGTCTCAAGATCCCGGGTCGGGTGGGGAAGTAAAAGGATACCTTGCAGATGGAGTTACTACTTCTATACACATTCGTTGGCTTGTTGAGATCGGTCAATCGACTCGCTACGTAACACGACGAAGATCTAGCTTGAATTTTCGGCCTCGGATTGGATGGCAGTCAGTCAGTCACTCACTATAGTTGGATTGATGAATGAAAAGAAAAAAAAATTAATGAATGGTAGGATGGGTCGATGGATGGATGGATGGATGGATGGCAATCCTCCTCCTTATTATCCCCGCAGGAATCAGAAATCAGAAAATACGAACTGACGAGGAAAAGGATCTCACAGCATACCTTGGTTCTCTCTTTTTTTTTCTATAAGAAAGAAACTTTGGTACTTGCCTGATAGGCCACGCTGTGCTGTAGATAGACACTCAGATTCTCTACATGTACTTTGCAGGGACGAATGTTGCTTTGCTCTATAGTCAATGTCATTGTGTTTGCGCTCAATGTGTTTTTACAGTTTTGCTTGATAGTGTAATGAAGTGTACCTAATGTGTAGGTGTAGGGTAGACAGGTAGGTACGTATGCAATAAGTATTGTGATGATCTCCTGAACCTTGTGTGCTAGAGATTGCATATCTATGTAGCCGTATTATTCAACCTCGTGTCGTTTTATGGTTTATAGCAAAATAACAGCGGGAACCGTTGTCTTTTGGCAAATTAATATTAGTGTTTGCTATCTATGCAAACCTATTTTCCAGTAGATGCCCATATATAACAGCATCAAATATATCTGCGTAGGTACCCAATGCACTCATTCTGACCTTTAATCCACGGTATAGCCCACTTCTCTATCCGTCGTCATTTCATGCCTAGCCTACCGTTACACCTCGTCCGAATTTTCCGTCCATTATAACCCGATCTAGTCTTCATAGTTCAAGCCTCTCCGTATACGATCTGTCGCAGATGCTCCTTCTCGCCGCTCTGCTCGCACATGGCGCGGAACATACCCATGCCGCCTTCCTCGTTGCCTTGAAGCTCCCATAGTTCCCGGGGCGCGCCATATTCGGCCACCTTGCCGTCGCTGAGTACGAGAATGCGGTCAAAGTCGGCGATGGTGCTTAGGCGATGCGCAATAACCACTAGTGTGCTGTCACCAAACTCCTCGCGGATGCTGCGCTGGATTAATGCGTCCGTAGTCATATCTACAGCACTCGTTGCCTCATCTAGCACCATAACCTTAGGTCGCGAAACTATCGCTCTTGCGAGGCACAGTAGCTGGCGTTGACCTTGAGACAGGTTGAGGCCGCCCTCAGAAATGGGAGAGTATAGGTTACGGAAAATGTTAGTGTTCTTCTTTTTCCGGCTACTATTGTTAGACGCCGGAGTGGATGTCCCGCTGGTGGCGGGCGTGTCTGCTGCTCTTCCGTTACCATTGACGTTGTTGTTCTCGCCTTCGTGCTCGGAGATGAGATGTACGCGTGCTAGCGAGTCGAAAAGCTCGACGTCGGTGTGGTTATCAAAGGGGTCGAGGTTTGAGCGCACAGTACCGCTAAATAGGACCGGGTCCTGAGGAATAATAGCCAGCCTGCTGCGCAGATCATGGAGCTTAATCTTAGAGATATCGAGTCCATCAATGCAGATACTTCCCGATCGCGCCTCGAGGAAACGGAAGAATGCAAGCGTTAAAGATGATTTGCCTGCGCCAGTACGACCGACTACGCCGACGCGCTGGTTACGCTCGATAGTGAAACTGAGACCTTTAAGTATGGGTGGGAGGTCTTCCGCGTAGCTGACCACGAGATCATCTACTTCAACGCGGCCTTCTGTCGGCCAGGCTGCCGGTGGGCTGGCACCCTCGAGGCTCTCTGTTGGTAGTTCTGTGTATTCAACAATTCTCTCTGCCGCATTCATCTCTAGCTCGACATTGGCGTAGTGGCGGATCGTCCACATGACGTGACCCGAAAATTCGAGTGCAAACGCCAATCCGAAACCAGCGAGGGCCGCGTCTATCTCCGGGGCTATGAGGATTAATATAGCAACGAATGAAGCGAAGAAGCTTCCCACTAGTGCCATTCGCCATCCCATCCAGCGGACGAATAACCAAAGATGCCAGGTAGCCACGGTCCAGTCGTCTAATTTCGTATACATACGCTCAATGTAGGTCTGGCTCTTGTCGAATGACCTAATCGTCTGGACGCCAGTCAAGGCCGAGCCGAATTGTTCAAATACTGGAGATTTGGTGACGGATTCGAGTCGCTTTACCGGCCTAGCTCCATCAAGATAACGAAGTGCGTAGAAAGCACAAACAACGAGAAGGAGAAATGCTGCGATTATAATCACGGGTGTAACGAACAAGCTAGCGACAATAACGCCAACGAGATTCAGTAGCGCACTTGCTGCAAACGCCATTGAATATGCCATATGAGTGTCCACAGAGTGGAAATCCGCCGTGAATCTGTTCAAGATCCTACCCAGGGGAACCGTATCTAACCACCGCAGCGGTGCTCGAAGTACTACAAAGTTGAGCTTGGCGAAGAGCTGTCTAGAAGCACGTATCGAGCCGCGGAAAACATAGTAGAAGCGGTACGTCGAGACGAGGGATGTGAAAGTTGAGAGAAAGACGTAGATACCGAGATAGTATCCTAGACTCTTGCTTGAATCGATCTCGACCATGGGTCGGACCATGCTGCCCATCGTGAATTGTTGTACATTGAACTGGTATGCGTAAGCATGTTTCTCTGCTTGCGCTTCGATAGCCTGTTGATGTTCTTCGTTTGACCCAGTCCATATTCGTAGCCACCACGAGCGTCCTACAGTTAGAGCTTGTACGAATAGGAATAGGATGAGGACAATAGACCAGAACCACCAGGAGCCGCTGTAAGTCAAGTATACCGCGTACACTTTTCCTTTGACAGCTCCCTTCTCGCGCGCTTCCTCTTCAACGAACTTGCGGGCTTGCGCCTTCGAGGGGATCTTAGCCAGAGGTTCTCCGCTAGGTTCGATATCCGTTTGAGACGTTTCTTCGGAATTTATTGCGGTAGAGCCTTCATCGTCTCGGATCTCCTGATCTGTCTGCTCGTGACTCTTAATCTGCTCCAGTGTTCCAGTTTGCTCCAGCTCCGAGATGAGTCCAGCGTTCAGTACTCGTCCATTCCCCAGCTCGACGAGGTACTTCGTCTTTGGTTCGCACAGGGCTACGTGATGTGTGACCAGGATCCTTGTTCGTCCGACACCGAGCTCGCCATTGAGGCACTTTTCAAAAATATGGCGACCAACGTGAGCATCAACAGCACTGAAGATGTCGTCCAGGACGAGTATGCCGGCACGGGAATAAATAGCACGTGCGAGTCTACATAGGACAGGTTAGTCGTTAGTCGTAATGGGTTTGAGATATTTCAGAATGTCGCCAGCACATCAACATAGGCGTTTTCCTCATTGGATACTTGGCTGGAGGTTGGGGGCCGACTTACGTGATTCGCCATTTCTGTCCACCACTGAGGTTGATGCCGTTCGCACCGATCTCCGTATTCTCTCCGTCGCTGAACATTTCCAAGTCCTTCGTTAGAGCGCAGACTTCGATGGTCTTATTATATCGGTATGCATCGTATGGCAACCCAAATAAGATATTTTCCTTAACAGTCGCATTTTCGATCCAAGGTATTTGCGCAACAAAGGCGACAGCACCGGGGATGATCCAGTTGTCCTTATTCGCCTTCTGGTCATGGCGCTGAGACGGCGCTCGAGGCACGCTGATGGATCCAGCTAGAATATCGACTTCACCTAGAATAGCTGCAAGCATTAAGCTCTTCCCGCTTCCAGTCTTCCCTGATATCACGGATAGTTCGCCCTTGGGAAATGCAATGTTAACATCGCGTAAAACGAATCGATCGGGGTCCTCCTCGTCATCCTCTTGGTTGTCCGAAGGCCAGGCGATGGACGCGTTATCAAATGTAACCTCCTCTGCTTCCTTGGTGATCTTCGAAACCTCTGCGCCTCTCAAATAAGCGTCCATACGCTTCACAGAGACCCAAGCATCGACGAGATCGGTCGTTAGTTCGGGGATAACGGACAGGGTAACTTCAAGCGCTTTGAAAACGCCAAGACTGACAAAAGCGACCGAGGGGGACAATGCACCATGCAGGGATGCATAGACGGCGAGAGACACGGCTGCG